AAAGATATAAATTGTAGCTTCTGTCAACTGACAGTTACTTTAAACTTGGAAAGTTACTTCATGGAAAAAAATAGTAAAAATTAGCATTGCTTACCTTGCTGGAAGGAGGAAACTCCTATTTCAGAAGACGACCGTGTTGTGTTGTGTGAAGAGACAGGAATAAAAAGAGAGGTTCTGCTCTCTGTAGCTGAACCAGTTCAAAGTGTCAGCAGGACCGTTGCGAACTACAGCTTAGAGGACAGAAGGAAGCAGGCACACATGCCAGGCCAGACTCCCTTTGGATCCAGAAACAGTAAAAGCAACTCTGGTATTGGTATTTAAGGGATCAGCAATAGTGCACTATGAGAATTAGTATATTCTCCCAGCTTCTGCTTGCTTCTATAAATACTAGCTTGGGAAAGAGACTTTCCTGGTATTTCTGGGATAATAGATGAGATCTTATTAAAGAATGAGGTCAAGTATAGACTTTTATTTCTGCAAGCCTTTCTAAGCAGGGAGGATTTTTCAGTGTGGCTGGTTGTTTAAGGCTTGGCGAAAAAATACAGAAGGTAACAGAGTGCTATGAGCACAGCTTCCCAATACAATAATGATAATTTGAAATTTATTTTTTGAAACATATTTGAGTTCAGACTATAATAATGAGTATTGCAGCTATTTGTGTGTGTGTGTGTGTACACATACTGGTATATAATACCCACCTTGTTTACTGTATTTATTTTTTTGTGACAATGGGCTGATGGAAATGTACTGAATCAGTAGATGTGAAGTACATCTGATGATGAGGAATCAGTGCAGTGAAACTGCAGTCTTGTGTCAGCTTGGAGACTGGCCGAATAGGCCATGGCAGTCACTTATGAAATCAAATGATACTGAGGAAAAACAGCTGTCTGCTGAAGCTTGTTGGCTGTAGGAATAACAAGTATTTGGCACATTCTTCTCTATCAGGATTTTTTTCTTTTGAGGACTGAAGCAAATTTCACATTTATTTGTTGACCTTTTCTAAGGGTTGAGGTCAGAAATCAATAAAGTTTGAATCTGGATAGTTCAGTTTCAAGGTGTTCAGTTGGCTTTACAGGCAGCCTGACCCAAGGCCACCTGCAGGTTCCAGCTGCCATTCTATAAAGGGGCATTCCTAGGAAGTGCTTAAAGGTTATGACAGCACTGTAAGAGTAGTATGTGCAGCTCTGCATACGTATGGATGTGCTCCTGAATGGTGGCAGGTATGATACTGCTGAGCAGCACAGGCCCAAGATTATCACCTCTGAGGTGTCCTTAGTGCCTGTGCCAGGGTATCATCTTCCAGTTGATCAGCACAGATGTGAGGTAAGACTAAGCTGGTGCATGAACCTGGTGATATGAACACGGGTAGCTGCATTCTTGGATGTGAACTGTACTGGCTTCACTTCCTCAGTGCAGCAGTGCCAGGGGTGAGTGTGAGGGAGGAGAGGCTCTAATCTCTGGATATGGCAGAGTGGCCGTGCTCTGGCTGTCTGGGGTACATGTTCAGGGATCTGGGGAGTTAAAAACCCTCCAGCAGCAGCCGCCAAGGACCAACACAGATGTGACAGTTACTGTCAAAAGGAGAAGGAGCAGCAGCTGTGTTGCCTTTCAGGTGGTTTCAGGCCCATCTCTAAATCTTATGGCTCCAGTTTCACCTTAAGCAAAGAAGTAAGAAGTATAACAGTGATATATTGTTTACCAGGTTACATAACTCAACATTATTACTTACAAAGGTGGTCTTGCAAAGTGTGTTTATGGCAGTCACTGCTGGTTAGTCAGTGTAGGTACTGTAGAAGTTGATTGTGGAAATTTCTCTTTTCTGAGATTAAGTGGAAATTAAATCCATTATTTACGTTCAAGTGTTCCAGGAGCAAGCAAGCAGTTTATGTTTAACTCCTGTGACAGTCCTGCCAGTACTATCTCTGATTTGTTGAAGTGTCCATTTGACCTCTCTCAGCCATGACGTGAAGCAAGGAGCTTCCAAGTTCCTGTGCAAGCAGGAGTGAAAGCAGACTCTGCTGAGCTGTGACACTGCCTCAAGGAGGGCTGGATGTCCCACATGGTTTTTCTAGTTTTTGTGTTTGTTTTTTTTTTTTTTAATTTTTAGCTTTGTTTAGTTCTCTAATGATCCATTTAATTATGCAGAGGTAATGGTTGCCTCAGAAATGGCCTTTGAAGCTGTCTTCATGAGCACTCCACAAACACTGTAAACAGAGTAGGACTGCATATTGGATATTGATGAGCACTGGCTGTGTAAGAGAGCAGTCTGTCAGCAAAGTTTGCAGACTTGTTAGCTTAGGTTTCTTGATCATCTCTTAATCTTGCATTTGTGACCTCTGGCATGTTTGCAGCAGGTCAACGTACAATTAAAAAAACACTTTTGCTCATTTATCCTGACACATACTGTGAGCACCGCTTGGCATCAACATATCTCTTTTGGAGCATAGTTTTACTGTCTTGGTGATAAAATATCTGAATCAAGTCCTTGCTCATGTTCTAGAATAACTAGGACTAGTGCCAGCTTCTGGACACCAGACCAGCTAAAGACTTGCCTGTTAGTGCAAAGTAGCTTAAAATCCTATGCAATATAAAACCATCCTGTGCATCTTGCTTACAGGATGCATGCTTCAATGTAAAAAATTGTTAATGCTGAGGTGGGGGAAATGTGTTTGCTCCAGCATGAAGTGCTTTTGAGAGCTCCAAACCCCTCAGGTCAGGAGGAACATTGCATTGCAGTAATTTTGTGGTTGTTGTGGCAGTATTTTTTGGAACCGTTGGAACAACAAGTTTGTAGACTAAAGTTGTCCTTGCATATTGGGCTCTCTCCTTTTGCACAAATGTGTGTTCATTGCATTTGCAGGAACCCTTGTAACTTCAGGTGTAGGCTTTAGCAGTGGCGATGTTCAGGATCAACCATATCATATACAGAAAGATGTTTTTGCCAGATAGATCTGTGATTCTGTCCCCACTGCCTGCTTCTCAGGATTGCTGTGCTACTGCCATTAGGCTCTGGTGTGTTAATTTGTGTTTTGCTTTTGCATTTTCCTGAAACAAACTTGGGTTTGTGTCCACACCCAGAGATTTCAAGTACCAAGCTGCCTGTTTTGGTCTTGTTTTGGACTGAAAGATGACTCAGTCTCAAGTTTTGGGAGATTCTTTTTTGTCATGTTTCTTTTTTAAAGGAGTGGCTTATCTTTCAGTAAGGTAACTTTCAATGTGGTATAACTCAGTTCTCTACAATATTTTAGGTATGAGAGAATTGTCATAGATTCTTCAAGGATTTAAATGAAACCAGGTGGTAGTAGACCTTGAAACTTCATAGTTGTGGCCTGAGGGTTATGTAGACCAGGATATAACAGTTCCATAGGCATGAGTTTGTGTTCTAGAGCATAACCAGTTGTCTTGTTTCCTCATTATTTGCAACTACGTGTAACAAAATACAGTGGGGACATTGTGCAAATTAGGAGCTTAGTGTTTCAGCATTTGACTCACAATTTCCCTTCTTCCCTGCCTGAGTTCCTCAGAAATACCCAGTCTTGGTATGACTTGCTTAGAACTATTTCTGTTGCTCCAAAGGCAAACATTGCAAAAGGTAGAAGTAGACAACAAAATACCATAGGCCAAATCATACTGTAAATTATGATCAGGTAGGCTGCTTCACAGTGGAAAGAAAAGTCAAAGCAGGCAAAGCTGGAGTGAAGGGGAAGCTTTGGTTTTTGGAGTGTTCAAGAAGTACATGGAAGAAGCCCAGAGGTTGTTAAAAAATGCTGGCTTTAGCTGAGTGCTAAACACCTGGAAATTTCATGTGTGTGCAAATTCCATTTCAGTGGGTTATCCAAGCTGAGCACTTCTTAAATACCTGTTTGATTTCCTCTTGTGTTGACACCAAATGAAGAAATACTAGAGGTTACTCTGGGAGAGACGTCCAATGCAAACATACCTTGGCTGAATTGCCACAGTCAAATTTAAGCCAAAATGATATAAAGTACCAGCTTTAAAAGTCTGATGGTCTTTTGCTGCTTCAGATCTGATGTTGAGATATCTCTCTGCAGTTTTAAAGGTCACCTCGAGACCTCAGCTAGCTGTTCAAAACGCAATGGCTAATCCTCTGACCTCGTCTAATTCAGTCACCTAGCCATGAATGTACATGCAGCAGTGCAGTCTGCCTGCAGTTTTTGGTTCTTACAGTCCAAAAAACAACCCAAACCAGGCTGTTAATCAGCTTGCCATTTTCAGCAGCAGTTTAGTTGGTTTGTTGTGTTTTTTTCCCCTGCATCGGGTGCTGTGTTAGGTGCCTGTAATGACAGTATTTCTGTGGTTTCTGTTAAGATTGCTGCTGTTGTTGCATGCAGGAAGGTATTACTACATCTATTGCTTCCTTGTTTGCTTTATCAGTATGTTGGGATGCCATCTTTTTTTGGAGTGTTTTTGGGTTTGATAGGATTTTTCGATTTTTTTTTTTTTTTTTTTTTTTTTTTTTTTAAAGGGGCAAACTAACCATGTCTAGTCTCTGACTTCCAGGCCAGAAAACAACTTGTATAGTTACTTCCTTCAGACGTCTCTCAACTAATCTCTATGTTCACAAACCTAAGGAGGGAGTGTATAGCTGATTGTTCAGGAAGAAACAGCACATTCTTTGTAAAAGGCTACCACCAGGTCTAAGGGAAGAAAAAAACCAAAACAACTTTGTTTGCTTAGCAATGGTCTGCCTGTGTCATGAACCTTCATTAATTATTACTGTTATAGGAACCCTGCATACTTAAAAGGGATGAATACTATTAACTTGGCTGAATTTGGTCCCTTAGCATATCAGTATGAAAGTCAATAAATGCTTCTAGACCCAGTGTTACCTTAAGCATAAAGAAAATACGGATAAAAGGTCAGTGACTTGGCAGTCTAACTTGGCCCCTACCTCAGGGAAGGAACAGCTCAATCCAGATAAAACCTTGTTTGAGTGTAGTATAACCTGTTTGTTATTAAAGATAATCAATAGTAATAGCTCCACAGCCTCTGGGGCAGCATGTTCCAGAGCTTCAACTACGCTTTCATCCTTGGAAATATTTATTAATATAAGACTTGCATTCCTTTTTTTTTAACTTTTTTTTTTGTTCAGGTTATCCCATAGACCTCAAACCCCAAAACAAAACAAAACAAATAAAAAAACCAACCAACCCCAAAACAACAACCTTTAGTACAGCTAAAAACAACAGACATTAGTAAAGTGTTGGCAGTTGTTGAAGATGTGTGCATTCTGTCTTTTGGTCTTTCCTAGGATTCTGTAAGCAATAATTGATTCATTTCCTATTCCTTTTTTTCTCTTCTCATTAGAATATAGTAGCAGTAGGAGCTGGGTTCTGTGATGGCCTTTGTTGTGGTGACAATACCAAAGCTGCCGTTATTCGCCTTGGCCTAATGGAGATGATTGCCTTTGCCAGAATTTTTTGCAAAGGACAGGTGTCTACTGCCACTTTCCTGGAGAGCTGTGGAGTTGCTGATCTCATCACGACGTGCTATGGTGGCCGGAATCGACGCGTAGCAGAAGCATTTGTGAAAACTGGAAAGGTACCTTATTCATGGGGTGAAATCCATTTTTGCAAGTACTAGCACTGCTTGTTTCTTGGAATAATAGTACAGTTATGCAAGACATGCTACCTGTGCTGTGTGAGCATTCTCCCATTTTTGTGTGTGTGTTACAAGGCTAGAATGAGTGTAAAAGGGAGAGGTGGATTAAAAAAAAAAAAAATTGCTAGAGAGATAAGATGTTGGGAAATGCAGATTTAAGGAGGAGAATTTCTACAAACAAGAATATAGGATAATGTTATATATGTTGACTCAAGGTCACTTTTGAGAAAGGAAAAAACCTTACAACTTTTCTGTCCAGATGATGTTGTCAGACTTATGAAAAAATTTATCATAGCTTTCCTTTTCTTCCCTTTTTTTTCCCCTTCCGTTGCTCAGTCTATTGAAGAGCTGGAGCAAGAAATGTTGAATGGTCAGAAACTGCAAGGACCACAGACTTCTGCAGAAGTGTATCGCATCCTGAAACAGAAAGGAATGCTGGAAAAGTAAGTAAGAACAAATAAAGGAAGTTCCACATACCCCTTTCTTATCTACATAAGTCTTTCTGCCTGTTTGGTGTCAGTATCTTCATGAAGGTAACAGCCATAAAGAAAATCACTGTAAAAGAAGTTCCTTAATCCCCAGTTAAAATCACAAAGAGGAGTGAATAGAACCTGATAATAATAGAGCTGTAGGTAGAGCTAATAGTGTGATGTTAAATTTGTGAATGCCCTTCTGATTGCAGAATGTATTATTGCCTTCTGCTACCACAGAGAAGCCCAGAGAGTGTGTTTTACTATGTGAAAATAACAAAATACATGAAAATAGCTGAGCTTCCTAAAGAGACATGTGAAGAGGCTCTACAGCTCATTTCATAGCAGTAAATTCATTACCTAGCTCCCAGGAGGGGAGCTGTGTTATGAAGGATCTGTACAGGTGATCATCTGAATAGAGTGGCTGTTCCTCTCCACATGGATTCTAGCTTAGATACTGCAGTTCTCTTTCCTAATGTGACTTCCAGTTTGATCTAGGATAAAACCTGCCATCTGCTTGTGTAACTCAGCATTCTTTAGTGGTATGAAATTGAGCAGTGTCAAGGGTTAGGGTGGGGCCACTGGAATGACACTCTAGTGGTGGTCTCTGTTGGTCTGCAACATCGAGCAAACCAAGCAAGCAAGCAACTCTAAATGTCAAGCACTGTCACTGCTAGAAGTAGACATTGTCTGTGAAACAATGCAGTTAACTTCAGAAAGTGCAGTTACTTAGAAGAGACTGAGCTGGAAAGTAAAATCACTGAACAGACTTGGTTCTGTTCTGATTCATATCAGGACATTTCACCCCTTACTCCATACCATCTACATCATAGACGTCACTAGCTTGTCATTTCTCTCTATAGAAAAGTTTATTTAGTTCATGATTATGGATCTCCATCTATCACAGCAGTCTCTCAGAGCAGGAGAGGTGTGGAATTAGTCAAGGTTGTGGGTTCACCTCGGGAGGTTACTGAACACCACTCTGTGGAGCTAGCTCCTGTCATCATCTCTGTGTTGTCCTGAAAGACACTTACCGAACACTGTTGATATTATGCAGTTATATTGTCCTGGCTTGTCCAAATCTGTATTTGAGTTGGAACATGTATGATTCCTAAAGCCACATGTGGTTGTTTCCATATGAGACTCAAGGAGGCATCGATCTGTTCTGGTTTGATATCTGCAGTGCAATTCATTTTTTCATTCCAGCAGTTGGAGAGCTAGCCCTCGTAATGCGCTCAGACATGAGATGCATTTGGAGTTTGCTGCCCCTTAGCCTGCAGTCAGCCTTGATTCTGCTCTCCCACGGGAAGCGTGGCAGATGTGTGCAGAGCAGGGTGACCTTCTCTGGGGTAAACAGCAGGACTTGTGTGTCCAGATGTGGTTCATAGCAGTGCTGCTGCTTGGCTGAGAAGTAACAGCCAGTACTGAATCTAAAGCTGTGTGAAACTTGCGTTTGCTAAGAAGGTTCACAGGGTTTGTGGCCTCCTCTCACACAGGTATAACAGATTTTATTTTAGTGCCTACATTTAAGTTTTTACGGCAAAAGAAAATTCACCCCCTCCCCCTCCAGCCTGATACGTTGCACTAAGTGAGGATTGTTAAATGCAAAAGTCCTCAAATAAGCTCTTTTTTTTTCTGCATGTTTCCTATAAGGATTTTTGCAACGTAAATGGTGTAGCATTGGATTTGAAAGAGCATCTATGTGGCTATAGGTTAATTTGGGTTCCACTGACGAAATAAAACCAAAAATCAAGTCAGTTGGATTGACCTGAAATAGTTTTTGCTATTGCTGCTATTTTTATCTTATTCACCACAAAAATAAACCAAAAGGCATGGATTTCATAGCAGGTTATTAAAATGTGTTCAGATAAAAATTAAATTCTACGTTTTTAATTGAGCACTTGTAATAAAATCCATAGTTCACAAGCATGTCCATTTTTTTCCCCCAGTAATGCCAAGTGCTGCATTCAGCCAAGTACAAATCCTGTATCTGCCCCAAGGATGCTGTAGTCACCATGCTGCCACAGTGCTCCTGAAGGGCTCGTGGCTTCTCTCGTGACCTCAGGTGCTCTTTGAGGGGTCTAGTTCAGAGCCACGTGGTGATACCAGTCACTTCAGCGTAACACATGACAGCAGAGTGCGTGGGCAAGCATATGTGGTGCTTGGTGCTGGTTGGGGGTTCTGCTCAGTGCTGCATTTGTGCATTACAGATTAAGCCTTAGAGTAGCTGATAGGATCACTTTCCAGAGGTGAAAGTCCTAGTCCAGATACATTCTGAATCACTGAGAAATTAAGTATTTCCCCGTCTCCAATACTCTTATTTTTTATTTCAGTCAAAATAATGTAGTGTGTTTGTTCAAAATTTATCAGTGTAAAAGGCCACACTGAAATGCCATTTGGAGAACAAATAATTAATCCCTAAAATTCACCAGACTCTGTATGGGGATTTGTCTGGTTGTCACTATTTGGGATGAACAGAAAGGAAATATAAATTTCTGTAAAGTGTCTTAGCTGTAACAAGACATCATATTATCAGAGATGCCTGAATAATTTGGGGGTTGTTGGAAATACGGCCAATTTAAAAAAGAAAAAAAAGAAGAGATAGAGGTTGGTGCTTCAAAATCCACATTTAATTTTAGACTCTTATTTAAAAACTTGACCTTAGTTTCTTCTTGGGTATCTTTGTGTCATATTCTGCAATAGTATTACCAAATTATTGCTTAGAGATAATGCATAACTTATGTGCCAGTCATCCTTTTAAACTGAGGAAAGACACAAATGCTTTTATTTTTTAGATCACTTAATGGTTGTGCCATACATAATAAATGTTGCATGCTACATTATAGCTAGCTAGGCTTCTAAGAATGACTCATTTTAGAGATGCATATAGGTTCTGTATTTATCCAGTGCTTTTCAGCTCAATTTTAGCACTTGACAAATATTAAAAGAGATTGATTTTTCAGTCTCCTTCATTTCCCTCCCTCTCCTCACACTGTTTACTTTCATTCATTTAAGAAAATGTCACAGGCTAACCTTATGCTGCATTTATTTTCCCCACCCTGTTTCCTCAGGTTTCCACTATTCACTGCTGTGTATCAGATTTGCTATGAAGGGAAGCCTGTCAGAGAGATGATATCCTGCCTTCAGAGCCATCCAGAGCATATATAAAATCCATCAGGCCATCGTACTAGTGCAGCTTCCTGCCTTTCAGTTAAGTCTGGGTTCAAGTGGATGCATCATTAAACTTCATTCAGAGCTGCTCGCTGGGCAGCAGGAGCAACGTGAATGTCTCAGGCTGGGTGTTGGGTTTTGTTACACAGCCTTGTCTGCCACAGTGTGCGGGCTGGCCTCCTGATTGTCCTTCTGTTGGCTAAAACACAACTGGTTTAAGATGCACAATGCAAGAGTTGCACTGCATACCTGGTGTATATGCACAAGTGTACTTTGTGAGTGGTCCTACTCCATAGAACACAATGGCTTCTTGTCTCTTATTAAGGCCTAGTCCAAAATACACTGAACACTGTGGGAAGAATTCCCCTGGTTTTGGTGGCAACTGAATCAAGCCTGTAGCCTTGAAATATCAGCAGTCTTTCTATTAGAACTTGGTTTTATTCTGTATAACACAAATAAATTTTAACATTTTGCATGCATATGTTTATATTAATTTAAGCAATATTAATGCAAAACAAGTGGTAGCAGTTAGGGAGCTACAGGGATATTTTAACTCTGGTGAAGAGTATTTTGATTTTTGAAAGTCTTTAAAACTGTCAGACTATTTTGAAACCAATTTCTAAGTGAATTTCAAGTTTTTAATTACACTGTTTTAAAGGGAATATGCTAGAGGGGGATCATTGCCTCCCCTTCTGTTTTTTAATCCTTGCATTTTTGTATTTCTCTCTGTTTCTCCCTTACTGTTCCCAGGTATTAGGCTCTTCTAGAATCCCATTCCCCAAAGTGTGTGGTAGATGCTCACCTGGTGGTTCTGAACTGTGGAACCAAGGGTTCATGTTAGTGTTGCACCTGTGGTTGTTCTTCACTGGTATTGTTTGGTGTATGGGGAAGGATTCTCTTGGGTATTCACTGCTCAAAATTGTCATGCTGTGTTTCTAGCTTACCTATCAACTACCAAGTGTTGCACTCCACACAACATCCCAAGGAACATTTGGGGACTTCCCTGGTAGACTGTGTTTTTGTTGTCAAAAGGTTTATGTGCCAGTGCCCTGACTGCATTCATTCAGTGCCTGACAGTGGCTGACACATCAACAGGACTGTAGTCCTGAATGAGCCTCCCAGAGGAATGATGAATTCTGAAGTTACTCTTTCACTGGACAAAACTTCAGTGGCTGCTGAGCCAAGTCCCTTATGGCCGATCTCCCAGAAAGCTTTGCAAGGGCATCTGTCTCTTTTATTCTCCAGGTATCTCAGCTACATTTTCTTAGGCACCTTTGCTTTATGAGGGAGGTTAATTTCATTCATCATTGGAGTTTGGAGGATGGGGTTGGCTTGGCTGGTTTTTTTTTTTGTTTTTTTTTTTTTTTAAGAAAGCTGATGCAAGAGAAGGTAGATAAATGAAAACTGTCTTGCTTTTCTTGTATACTAAACTGTAATTTTTTTTTTGTAAAACATGTGCCAGCTACATAAAGAATGTGCTCATTCTTGCAGCTAGGAGACAAGGGTTAGCATTGAAATCTGCAGAGCTCAGCAAGAATGCCCATCCACTCCGAATCTCCCCCTCGAACCTCCGAGCAGTATCAGCATGGTCACTCATTGTGCTCAGTGGTAGTTTTAGACCAGAAATCGTGAGCACAAGCCCATCTTGGAGTTTTAAGTTGTCATTCAAAACTTAGTAAAACAAAGGGGATGCCTGGGAATAACAGTGAATAAATGGTACTTAATTAAGTGGCCAGGATTACTCTGAAATAGGCAAGCATTGGGGCAGCTTTGTAAAGACAGGAAGGTGCTTCAGCATAATCGCTTTTGTTATGCTCCTGTAATGCTTTACAGGAATCTTTTGGAAGATCTTGTGAACATCATCAGGTATCCATGAGAAGTTATTTTGCCTTTTTTCTGAATTAGTGCTAAATACAACAGATGGCTGGAAGCTGAGTGACATCGGGTGTCTGTGGCCACTGAGGCAATTGCTGGTAGAGCTGACCTGGCGTGAGCACTCTGCTTAGACATTTAAAGGGATGTGCTACCATTGGAAGCACTGTTAAACTAACGCACACGTGGAGCCTGAGCTCCTCATCACTGCATAACTTTTGATGTGTCTGCTTATGCTTTGTGTTGTTTGTTTTTCATACCAAGCAGTTTGGCTTCACCTTTGTATGTGTACATATA